TGATCTCAGTCACACAAGTGTGAATGTATAGTTCAGCTGAAGTCAATAGGTTAATGAGGAGTCAAACCAGTCCATATCTTCCTCCACCAAATACAAACCACAATGGAATTTACTGCGTGTACACCTACACCATGACTGGTAAGAAATGTCATTATTATTATCTTTTGAGCATCTCTGTGCATGTAGCAGTGAAATTCCATAGAAACATAACAGCCATACTGGGTCAGACCAAAGGTCCATCTAGCCCAGTATCCTGTCTTCCGACAGTGGCCAATGCCAGGTGCCTCAGAGGGAATGAACAGAACAGGTAATCATCAAGTGATCCATCCCCTGTTGCCCATTCCCAGCTTCTGGCAAACAGAGGCTAGGGACACCATCCTGCCCATCCTGGCTAATAGCTGTTGATGGACCTATCCTTCATGAATTTATCTAGTTCTTTTTTAAACCCCGCTATAGTCTTGGCCTTCACACCATCCTCTGGCAAGGAGTTCCACAGGTTAACTTAGTATTTATCCCTAGGAGATGCATTTTCTCATTTCTAGGCTCTGTGAATCTATGAGTCAAAAGTAATCATAGAATCAGTTACAGTCCACACCACCTACAAGTGTTATTACCTCTAGGAGGATTTGTAACAGGGAGGAAAAATAATGCACGTGGTTACAAAGAATGTCTGTAAAACATACACTGACTCCAATAGGACAGTGACACTTTAGTGATACCAAACTTTTTCACTGGGGCTGCCTCATATTAGGCCCTAAATCTATATTTAGGCACCTATATAAAAGGGGCACTGAGCATCACTTGTGCCCTTTGAGGTCATTTTGATTAGGAAGAGAAAATCAATGACCATGAATAAACTCTATAGCATTGATTACTTGCATACATTGATAGATTATTTGCCTCCCTTCTAAACTAAACACTCCCAATCTATATATCTCTTATTTTATAGAAGATTTGACCCACTGGATGGTTTCATGCATATTAAAACAGAGTAGGGTGACCAGAGGGGAAGTGTGAAAAATTGGCATGGGGTGGGGGGTAATAAGTGCCTATATAAGAAAAAGCCCCCAAAATTGGGACTGTCCCTATAAAATCGGGACATCTGGTCACCCTAACACAGAGTACACAATATTTCTGTAGCTGGAACATGTCCTATCTCTAATGGAAAGCATGTGGGGAATACAAAGAGAACATTCCCTAGGACTGTCCTTTGATGTATTTCAGCTTTCTTATGTTTATACACTGTTTCCCAGGAACAATCACAGGGATTATGAGGGATCTGTACTCAGTACTTTATTGGCCAGTGATTAATTTTAATCTTTATTTTTTTTTCACCAGCAGAGGAGAGCGTTTCTGGAATAAATGGCAGAGAGAAACCACACCACGGTGACCGAGTTCATTTTCGTAGGATTCACAGATCATCCAGATCTATAGATCCCCCTCTTTATGTTGTTCCTAGTGATGTATGTGGTCAGCCTGATGGGGAATCTTGGGATGATAGTGTTAATCATGGTTGAAACCCGACTTCATACCCCCATGTACTTTTTCCTAAGCCAGATGTCCATTGTAGATATTGGATATTCCACTGCCATAGCTCCCAGGTTGCTAATGACCTTTGTAGCAGAGACTAGAACCATTCCTTTCATTGAGTGTGCGGCACAGCTATTCTTCGTCTGTTTCTTTGTGACCAATGAATGTTGCCTCCTGGCTGTGATTGCATATGACCGCTTCAAAGCTATCTGTAATCCACTGCTATACAGAGCCATTATGTCCAAGAGACACTGTGTCCTGTTAGTGGCTGGTACATATGTATGTGGCTCTGTGAATTCAATTGTGCAAACTCTATTTATATTCAGTCTGTCCTTCTGCAGCTCCAATGTTGTCAACCATTTCTTCTGTGATGTGCCCCCTATGCTGAAGCTGTCCTGTTCTGACACCCATGTCACTGACCTTGTACTTTTCACTTTCTCTACTGTAATTGGAATGACTACTTTCCTGGGTGTCCTAGTCTCCTACATGTGCATCCTTCTGGCCATTCTCAGGATCCGTTCTGCCAAGGGGAGATGCAAAACCTTTTCCACCTGCGCCTCCCACCTGACAGTCGTCTCTATGTTTTATGGGACGCTGATATGTATATATTTAAGACCCAGTTCTAGCTACGTGATGGACCAAGACAAGGTTACCTCTGTGTTTTATGCCCTTGTGATCCCCATGTTGAACCCCCTGATCTACAGCCTGAGAAACAAGGAGGTAAATGATGCCTTTAAAAGGGTGATATACAGGAAGATTTTTTTCTTGGTCATTATAATCATTATATTTTAACCAATAAACAGTAAATGGAATAAGAGTGAGTTCTCTGTATCATTATCCTTATTTCTATGACTCAGCCACTCCATGTGATGTACAGAAAATCATATAATGGAACCCAGTCAAATACAATATTAGAAATTGCTGTTTTTAAGATCCATGAATGAGGGTCTGTGACACTATGCAGAATCAGCAAGATGCTCTGACATTTGGCTTAAAGGACAATTGCTGTTGCCTGTTATGTTTTATGCCAGTTTGAAGTTCAGGTGAGAGGATGAGAAGATTGTATGTATCCTTCCTTGTATGTATCCTGAGATTTCATCCAGTGGAGGGCACTGTTAAACATACAGAATAAAAGCAACCAGAACTGAGGTAATGATTATCAAAGCTCAGCTTAGGTTGATCGGTCATATTCTCGGAATGTGGAATGATAAATTCCCCAGAAAAGTCCTCTCTGGTGAGCTTAGGGACTTAGTCTGAATAATGCAGAGTTGACCTTCATCATGCAGAGCTAGCCTGCACCAAATCAGAGTATCTTCTCTCACCGCTGCATCATGCCGACATGAAGAGGACGTTGTTTTACTCCTGAGTTCTCAACAGAGGAGGTTGTTTCCAGTTATCACAACCAGCCTCCCTGTCTTCACGGCTAGATGGAAGGGGAGCATCCCAAAACTTAAGAGGGATCTCAAACCTTTTTTTCTGTTTAACATGGGGTCACAGGCAGGAGAATGTTGAGATCCACTGGTTTTACTCATTGAAAACTGTTGCCGTTTTATGTAGGACTTTTGTTTATTTATCTTCTCTCCAACCCATGAAAGAATTTCTCTGGCAATCCTGAAATTACACCTCTACCCCGATATAACGCTGTCCTCGGGAGCCGAAAAATCTTACCGCGTTATAGGTGAAACCACATTATATTGAACTTGCTTTGATCCGTCGAAGCGTGCAGCCCTGCCCCCTGGAGCACTGCTTTACCGTGTTATATCCGAATTCGTGTTATATCGGGTCGCATTATATCGGGGTAGAGGTGTATATCAATGGTCTGCTTTCTTTGGCTTTCTTTGGACTTTGTAAACAGTGAGACAGGTTCGTCCCTGAAGTAACTCCCTTGTCTTGAGAGAATGATATGGGGACAGATCAAGAACGAATGTAGTCCAATCAATTTATAATGATGTACGAGTGTGGTGTACTAGTACACAATATGAAGTACTAGTGTGATGCGGCTATCAATATTCATAGCACTAGCAAGCTTCCTACACACGGTGACATTTGAATATTCATACTGGATATGCTCTGGTTAGTCCAGGGAAGTTTTGTCTGAATCATCGATCGCTTAAATCCTCTTCTTGTGCTCCTAGGAATACTGCTTATGATTTTTCCATATATGTACAAAATGGAATGAAGCTATAGTGCCATAACATAAAAGGACTGCTATTTTCCTTTCAACACTTCAATACTGGTACAGGATTGGAAACCCCATCGTGCAATCGACAACTGCCCATGAGCAAATACACATTTTCAATGAGCAGTTAGACATCCAGTTCCCTGGACAACTCCCTGGAATGGGAGTTTGGTG